TTTTTTTTTTTTTTTTTTTTTTTTTTTTTTTTTTTTTTTTTTTTTTTTTTTTTTTTTTTTTTTTTTTTTTTTTTTTTTACTGAGGTTGTCATAAGGGGTTATTTTTTTTTTCTTTTTTTACAGTTTTACAAAGTTACTGAAATATAATGTAAAGTTTAGAAAAAGGAAAGAATATTTACAATACCAACAAGCTTATTTTTCATTGTTTAGGTTTGTATTTACAAAAATATTTAAAATTTAAATTTCAATACCATAATACAATTATTTATATTTATATATAAAAATGATGACGTTAACGATAGATTCCACAAAAAAGGGACGAGGATAGGAAAAATAATTTCGGGGACAGAGAGGATGGAGATAGAAAAAATAATCTCGAGGACAGAGTCAAGAAAAGGGATGCAAAGAGTCAAGAAAAGGGATGCAAAGGACGGGACAGAAAAAATAATCTCAGGAACGGAGGGGACCGAGAGAATAGAGACAGGAAAATAATCTCCGTCTTTGATCCCATCTAGCTAACGAGAAAAAATATTTTTCCATTTTTTTTATTATTTAAATAAAATTAATTATTTAAAAATATAATATAATAAAATTTTATAGTAGGTCGAGGTTGTGGGCTTTAGGCCCAGTTGTTGGTGGGCCAGATAAGGGGATGGGCTCCACATGGGAAGAGTGGACAAACAGTTAAGCAAAGCCGAAGGCGAAGACCACGTGGTCTTTCTCTTCTCGATGAACAGATCCAACGGCTCCAGTTGAAAGTTTGGTGCGCACCTGATCCAACGGCTGACGTTAATGCATTTAATTAATTTGCATAAATCTCAGTTCCCCACTTCCGAAAACGTTCCTTTTCTCCTCTTTTGAGCAAGGTGCCCTGAAGCAAAAAAGTTGTAAAATTTTGGAAAACCCTAAATCTTTCACTGTTTTCCGCTTTTACAAGATTTGTTCAAATCATGAGAGGAACTAAGCGCTCTGGCTTATCGGATTCGAATCCCGACACTAACGATTCTGTGGTATGTTCCTTTTGTTCTAGTTTTCTTTCTCCACAATCCCCTGAAACCTAGTTTGTTCTTCATTTTTCGTACTTTAGATTTTCAATATATTTGGCAGCTTCAATGATAATCTTGAACTAATTGTTCGGGTATGAATTTATATAGAGCGTGTTTTTGCTTCATTTTGCTATGTTTCATGGCTTTCATAACTATGCTTGAGCATTCTTCCCCAATCTTTGGATTCTAACGAGTAGAATAGTTCCATGTACTTGAATTTCGTTTTTGGTCGGTGCTCTTTGTCTGCTTCTATTGGCTTCTGGATGCGAATGGTAATCTTAGCTTGTGGGGGTTTAAGTTACAAGGCTTACGTTTCATTCAGTTGTGTTGGTTTTTCCAGTTTTCTTCTACAGAATAGGGAGTCAATGGACGACGGTTTTGTCGTTAATTGTTTTTCAAACATCCGTTTCTTAGAGCACTTCCGGATTAAATTACACGATGTCTGGAAAGCTTAATTTAAATTTATCTCTTTATTTCCCGAAAATTTAATGCAGTTTGGTAACAAAAGAATATTGGCGGGATCCTCATTCGATATTCAGAGAGCAGAACCATCTCAACAACGGAAGACAAAAACGCCTACACTTGATGTGCGCCGGGCGGAGTCTTCTCGGCAGCATGTGAGAGCACTTAACACTCAATTCGCAAGGTCTAACTGTGAATACCATAATTCGAAAGCGCTGCTTTTTAGTTCATTATGTTTTGCTATACCTGCGTTGACCATATATTGTTAAATTCAAGTGAACCTCTTAATCATTTTGGATTTCCTGAATTTTCTTAGAAAGAAGTTTGTTGTACTTGCTACAGTTTATGATTTTAGAATGCTAGAAGTGTCAATATTTGGACTCCAAACCCATATGATACTCAATGTATATGACACTTGTTAAATTCAAGTGAACCTCTTAATCAATTTCGTTTTTTTTTTTTTTGCATACAGTTGGGTGCAGTCACAATTAACAAATCATCCAGATGAACTTTGGGAAGATGGTATCCGTGATTACTTGATTCATGCCTCAAGTATTATGGTAAGTGCTCATAATGTTTTGTTCTCTTTTGTCTATACTCCAGTATTGTTTTATATAAGTCCTGCATTATGGCTTTGATCATGCCCCTAAGAAAATTTGGAGACATGCAACATCTTTAATACAATTAGGAATCAATTTGACTTGTTTAAGAATTTGTGAACTTTTATTACCCACTCATCTCCTCTTTGATCTGGCAGAACTAAATGCACCCTACTTTATTTGCTGTAAATTTACTGCATCTCATGAGTTCATTTGTTTAAAGCGTATCAAGTTGAATTTTACACCAAGTGTCGGACTTGCATATCCAAATTATTTATCAAATCGGTATCCCTGACTTCTTTTTTTTTCTTTTTTGTATTCAAAGGAAAAGTTTAGTGATATTGTCGAGTGGCTCAAAGCAAAAGCTGTTGAAGGAGAAAGTTCACCTCCTACTGGATCTCTCGCGTCTGAAAAGAAAACAGAAACTGAACACAAGAAGACTGATGTAAAACTATTTCAAGGACAAACTAGTTTCGCACCTGTTAGTGCAACTACGAGCATTGCAACTTCATGGACCTCTGGGGCATTGTTCAACCATCAAGCCCCTAACATATTTGGTAACATTACTTTGCTAGCTCTTAGTATTATTTTATTAAAGATTTTGGTGTCTTTATTGGGTGTTCCATGTGCTGAATTTTGTGTAACATGAAAAACAAAGTGGGAACCATATTTGTTCATCACTTTGGTTACTTCACTTGAAGTGTTATGGAGTGTTATGGCTTATATATAAGCTTTATTTTCATGAGTTGTAAGACAAATTTGATAACTAGAGAAATTGTAATACGAAAGAGGTTTTTCTGTTTTTTTCTTTTTTTTTCTTTTCCCTATAAATCAATATATATATTTTATGTTAGATACCATAGAAAATTGTAAGAGATTGGATTTGACCCTATTTTCAGTAATTTCACATATGATCTCGTGATGTTTTTAGATACCAAAAATGTTACCACCCTCATAGCAACTTAAAGGAAATGTCACGAGTATAAAGGCCCTTGGGAGCTAGGGCTGCCCACTTTGAACTTCAAATATCTGTCAAGTCTCCTGACTATTACCTGGTTATGATGCGATCTCATTGAATAAAGAAAGACTGACACTTTGTTGGATTACCATTTATCCCAAATGTTTATATTTGGTTAGGCTAGGACTAATTTCTTTTAATGACATGAATTTTTCATAGTAACTAGGACAATGACCATACTTTTTATTATTTGCTGATTCAAGTTTTTGCATGTGATTTATGATCTTTTAACATTTAGTTATCATTGATTACTTGTCCTCTGTTCCTTTGTTTGGAATGTTTAAGTTCTTAGAGAACTAAAAGTAGCATGCTTTGTTATGCAATGCAACTAATATTAAACTATACCACAATTCCTTAGTTTGATTCTAAATTAACGCCTTTTCTTTTTTCTTTGGCAAGGATTAAAAAATTCAGTTCCTGCCAATGGTGTTTCTATTGGTCAAACTGCGGTCTCAAATTCAGAGAATGCAGATGACGGTGAGATTCTTGAGATTTTGCACATTTTTTCTATTTATTTCTTGATTGATTCTTATATCTGTAAAGCTACCTTGCTCATATTTATAATTTAGTAGGTCTGTAGGTTAATCTTAATGTGAAAGTCAAACTGTTATACAATGTTGCACCAACGATGACTGAGACTTGCAAATTATAAATGAGATAAGTTGTAAGATTGATTTAATTTGATATGAACGGTACTTCACTTGCAAATTTCGAGCTCAAAATGGTTAAATGGATTATAGATAATCTATTGTTAGTTCATTTCAGTTTTCTTGACTTTTCTTTTATACCCAAATTTTACAGTGCCCAATTAAAGAGATTTCTCTTGCGTACAGGAGTTGCTAATGTATTTGATGAATCCTAATTGTTCTATATTAATCCCAAGATAAAACTCCAACAAACCATGGATACATCTTATGGAATCATAGTTTTCAAGGATCAATTATGGGGGAGGGAAGGAGTGGGGGAAATCTGTTAGGATTTGTTTATTGAGTCAGTGTGAATGCCTATAAACGCATGTAAATCAGGGAAGAAGGGAGGGAGGGAGGGTATTTTAAATCCAAAGATGGTGTTGAGGGGAGCAAGGATCTTAATTGGGAGTTGTAGTACATGTTTTTTTTCTTTCCAGCTGATGAGACTTGTCACTTCATTTCACCGTCCCACTATGCAAAAAATTTCCGGCACTTTTTTTAATTTTTTATTAAGATTAAGATTAAGGATTTTGCTTCCTTTTTTTTTTATTAAAAGAATTAAATTTAATTAACCTCAGGGTATCTTCTCTGGACTGGAGCATATTTGAGTGTTGTTTTTAAGTTTTAAAGTGCCGCTTTCTTGATTTGAGGTGTTGTTTTGGTTGTAGAAAATGACTTGGAGCAGCCAAGCAGCCCATCTGTCAAGAAGTCTGAAGAGAAAGGGGTGGTTGTAGTGCATGAAGTTAAGTGCAAGCTTTATGTGAAGGTATTTGTTTCTGAAAAGTGGAATTTATGTCTCTTTTCCGCATGAACTTCGATGGCGCAGGAAGTTGTTCGATTTCTCTTTGAGCTGTATTCTTCAACCTTTGCATTGTGAAAATTTGTTGCTCTTAATTTTATTTATATATATTTTTGGTTAGATGCGTGTTGACTTGATTTTATGACCTTTTACTGGAAGGATCCCTTTTGTTTGATATTACCTTCTGGTACTCTCATGCTCTCAAAGGAAGAAAAGAGGTAGATGAGGACTGTGAGAGTTGAGACTGGAGAGCTTGATTGAGATACTTGTTTCCAAACAAAGATTATAGTAGTGGTTACTGTAGCACAAGCTTTCTAAATATAATTGGTTTATCATGATCCAATGGCTTAACAGTTTTAACGTCGCTCAAGGGCTGATGAATTTCTGAAGATGTAAAACTGGAAAAGATTAAAATTATAATAGTTGTTGCATAATGTTTTCCATATAGATATTTTTCTGTTGTTTAGTATATTTCTTCTGTTTACTGTTATTTTTATTTGCCTTGCGTTCAATCCTATTCAAGTTCCTCAGTTTTTAGTAGTCTTAGGATCTGGATTAATTACAGTATTCTTGACACCACATTGTCTGTTGTGTACATTCAGTCAACTGATCCAACAGATAAAGATGCATGGAAAGACAAGGGCACAGGGCAGCTTTCCATCAAATGCAAGGAGGGTATCAGCAAGGGTACAAAGGAATCCAAACCTACAATTGTAATTCGAAATGATGTAAGGTTTATTGTGCTTAATCTTTATTGTTTGATAATACTTTTTGCTATCCCCAGCTCTAGTTTCCTTAGGTGTCGGTTTGTTCCTTTTTTTCCCCCCCCTTATCTAACGATTGTGTTGAATATTCTACTTATAGGTGGGGAGACTGCTTCTGAATGCTTCAATCTATCCAGGGATCAAAACAAGTACTCAAAAGAATTCCCTTGTTGCAATATTCCATACTTCGGTAATGATTACCTTCATACTGTTCGCCAACCTTTTGAGTTATTATTATTTGGTTAGTTCAATTCTGCTCCATATGCATCAAACAAGTAGCTTTTAACATCCATATATGGTTTGAGAATTTGAGGTTCTAGTCCTATACTTACAAAAATCTCTTTTCTTTTGTAGAGCGAAGGTGATACGAACGAAAATGGCGACAAAGATACAGTTGTGGCTCGCACGTACTTGATTCGATTAAAAACAGAGGATGATCGGAATAAGCTAGCAACAGCAATTCAAGAATGTGCCCCCGTGCCTTGACAGCGATTAGAGGTCGTTTATATCAGAAGAATTTTGTCTGTTTATTTTCTTTTCCCCCATTGGTGAAGGGGGGGTTTCTTCAGAAGACCAGATCAATTGATCTCTACCAAATGAATCTACTTAAGAGAGGCCGACGCACATGTACTATAAAGAGAATTAATGCTGTTTTATTTATTGTAGCAATACAATAATCCTGATTTTTTTGGTTTCTCAAATTCCCCGTTCCCATCGATTGTTTATAATTGTAATTTAGCGGCCCGCTGTGATAGATTTCTTGCCATAATTTTTGCAACCAAGATTGAGAGTCTATGTAGCTGGTCGTTTTAAGAATATTGCTATCTTATTATCAAACTTAGTTAGTTCCAAACAAGAGCGTTTGTAGTCCAACGGTTAGGATAATTGCCTTCCAAGCAATAGACCCGGGTTCGACTCCCGGCAAACGCATTTTTCTTTTAAAAATTTTATGCCATTTTAAAAAAAAAAAAAAAATTATTATTTCCTTTTTACTTTTTGTTCAAAGTTGAGGGATTTTTTAAAAACTAATTTAGCATATTGTATATGAAATATTACAGTAGTTTGTGTGATGTAATAATCTGGCTAAGTAAAATATGGCTTCAAAATATTATTTCGAAGGTATAAATTAAATTCAAAATTAACTTTTTCATCATAAATAATTCCAAACTCCATTACTTTTTAAAACTTATTGAAAGACTCCTAAATTTAAAAAAAAATTAATAAATTTTTAAACTTTCATTTTTAAGTTGAAAGATATGTAAAATTAAAAATAATTTTGAGTTAGATAAATTTCTAACATATTAAAAAAATTTAGAATCAAACTGATATAAAATTAAATTTTATATCTCATATAACTATTGTATGCTAAGTTGGTAAATTTAAATATTATATCAAATAGTTTACAACTTATTAAACATAAATTTCAAGGACTACACGACAAACCTAAAAGTTTCAACTCAAATATTCATCAATTTCATTGGGGTAATTAATTAATGCCAATTCCTAACAAAATCAAAATCAGATTCACAGCTTTATAAAGATTTAAGATTATGAGTATTAGACGAACACGACTTTCCACAATGATATGATATTGTCCACTTTGAGCATAAGTTCTCATGGCTTTGCTTTAGGGCTCCCAAAATGCCTCATATCAATGGAGAGTATATTCTTAGATTATAAACTCATGACCATTACCTAACTTAACCAATGTGGGACACTTTCATCTAACAATAAGATCTAGTAGGCATGTTCGTTCATTAAATAAAAAGCTCATTTCTTTTTCCTCTCAAACTCGAAGACCACACCCAAACGAGGGAAAAGAAATCAATACACTCCGCCTGTAACTAAATTTCAGCAACATGGCTCGAGTGTCACAGGCCCAATACCACCTCTTTGAAAACTACGAAACAAGAAACGAGAACAGGTTTCACTTTCCTGAGTCTGAAACATTGAGCAATCTTGGTATCATCGACTGCTTTCGGCATTCCTCGGTATGACTCGTTGGTAGGTGACTAGTTATAACGTGACGAAAATGTTAACAGACAAGTGATAGCCTAAGGGATGGAGTTGTTGGGATATGTGTGCATGATGCCCATCGTATAACTGATTCGGTCATGATGAGATTAAACTGATCAAGCTCGCCAAGTCCGATTGAATGATTCCTTTTGCTGGGAATGTTGGTTGCTCTAGACCCACCTAGTCCCCCCTTTCGAGTTTCTTTCCACTCCATGTCTCCAAACCTGTGCTTGACAGGAATTATGGGTTCTAGCAGAAGAGAGAGCTTTCTCTTGATTGGTTCTGCATTTTAGATAACATGGTCCATTGTAAGACTAAATGATATTCAGAGAAAGCTCGGATTGATAGAATTCCAAACATGAAGGAAAGGTTCCATCCAAAGGCTTTTCTTTCTTGTTTGTTCAGAGTTTTTCTTTTTCATTTTTTATGACCTTACCATATAATCAATAAAATGAAAGGAGCTTAGAAGTGAGAAAATAACACACCTTCAAGAAGAGCTTCTGATAGTGACAAATTCGCTTTGAAACTGATCGAACCATTTCCTTGATCAGCTGTTGAACATGGACTAAAGAAGGTAAAGCTGGGAAGCTTTGGAATTGGGGATGAAAATTCGGTGGCTGCATCTAACTCAATGCAACTGCTGAAAGAAAATCCTCCGGGAACAGAACTGGGCGTGTCACCGGTATCCAAAAGGAACGAAGAGAATGATGATTTGCACGTGAATACAGGTGAATGCCCCATTTGGTCCTCACAAATAACAGCAGTTCCATCACTGAAGCTAAAATCCTGATTTCTAACGATGAATGGAGCGGGCAAAGAACTTATGCCCGTTTCCACCCATCTGAAATCTCGGGCATCCAACTTTTCCTGCTCTTGAGATACCTGGGCACCATCTTTCATCCATGAATGAGCTACAAGAAACAGAAAGTATTATTTTTTTAGATAGAAATTAAGATCAGCACATTTTGTTTGCATATACATGAGCTTATTCCAAAATTGAAAGCTAACACTAATCAACAGGAAAGCTCAAGGACTGAATTTGTCTGCCATGTTCCTATTCCCAGATCCTGCAGAAAACTAGGCAATGTTACAGCTAGGACGATCTAAGGCTTTTGGACAGCATTCCAACACGATGTTTGGCAATGCGCCGAAAGAAGATGCATCTAAGGCATCCAAGAAACAGAAACAAATCTATTGGACCTCTTCTCTAAGTTATTGATTGTTGCTTTGTGAGATCCCACATTGGTTGGAGAGTGGAACGAAGCATTCCTTATAAGGGTGTAGAAACCTTTCTCTAGCAGACACGTTTTAAAACCTTGAGGGAAAGCCCAAAGAGGACAATATATGCTAGCGATCAGCTTGGACTGTTCCAAATGGTATAAGAGCCGATCATTGAGCGGTGTGCCAGCGAGGACGCTAGCTCTCAAGGGGGGTGGATTGTGAGATCCCACGTAGGTTGGAGGGTGGAACGAATCATTTCTTATAAGGGTGTGGAAACTTTTCCCTAGCAGACGCGTTTTAAAACCTTGAGGGGAAGCCCAAAAGGGAAAGCTCAAAAAGAACAATATCTGCTAACGGTGGATCTGGTGGGTCTGGTCTGTTACATGCTTTGTCTCACATTTTACTTGGTTATCTAAAAAGAAACCCAGCCAAAAAAAAAAGTCATAGGATTACCTAGAACCTCCTTAGCAGTGAGCCGCTTTGATGGATCCATACAAAGCATCCTGGTGATCAAGTCCTTGGCAGATGTCGACACATTATCCCAAAGATTAGAAGGAAAACGTAAATCTGCAGCTCTAACGGCTTCGAAAATTCTTGACTTTGTCTTACCCCAAAACGGGGGCATCCCACTGAGAAGGATGTAAAGAATAACTCCAGCACTCCAAACATCAGCAGCTTGGTTATAGCCTCCTGCAAGGACTTCTGGGGCGATGTAAAATGGACTCCCAACAGTACCATGCAAATACTGACCTGCTTTCAGAGAACAAATGCTCATAATATAGAATTTGAAGGATGGTTTCAGTTTATGTTAAACACTAATTGGAGAAGAAATTTTGAAGATAAGCTTACCAGGTTTGATATAGGTTGCAAGACCAAAATCTGCCAACTTAATTGGAGACGAGGAGGAGGTTGTGGCTAATAGAATGTTTTCTGGCTTTAGATCTCTATGAACAACACCATTCTCATGACAATATTTGACCACTTGGATTAGATGCCTAAAAATAAACCGAGCATCAGATTCCGAAAACCTGCCATGCTTCTCGAGCTGGTGGAAAAGCTCCCCACCAGCACATAACTCCATTAATAAGTGCACACAATCTTCCTCCTCGTACACTGCCTTTAGATTTACAACATTTGGATGCCCCAACAATCGAGACATTATTTCGATCTCAAGCTTAACACTTCGAACATCATCAACTGTCATCAATTTATCCTTGGCAATGGACTTGCAAGCTAACATCTCACCAGTCAGCCTATCAGAACACGATCGAATCACACCAAATTGTCCCCAACCTAATCGTTCCCCCAAAACGTATCGATCTTTTAAATTTGCAACTTGGGTAGTTTCTAAAATTGTTTCACTAAGGCTTGAAACTTTGAAACAGTTGTAGAATTGTACAGCTTGCCCACTCTGATCACTTTCAGTTTCAGCTAAGTCCATACTAGGGCAACAGAGTTTAATGGCAGGAAAGCTGAATAGTACCTCACTAGTATATCCTCAACTATCAAATCACCCTCGATGATGTTTCAGAGAATGTTTCTGAAACATCTGCCCATGAAAATTACAGAACAAACATAGAACAATACAGAGTCATAACCTCATCCTGGACCAACCAGGTTGAGCTAAGACTACCAAGTTAATTTGGCATACGAAATGCAGGTTTAAGCATCAGCTTCCAGGTATAACCTAGCAAGTAAGGTGCAAGAATAACTATTCAGATAGCTCAATTTCCCCAAATTTTTTCAGAAATCAAAATTAACAATTCAAACACACCACATCATCGAAATTCAACAAATAATTAGACACAAAATTTCATTCCATAAAAACACTACCAGAATCACGAGCCACTAAAACAAAATTCAAACTCGAAAGTTGAAAAAACGCCCAGAATTACACACGCACTTCAACTACAGATGAAAATCGAAACAGGCCAAATTCGGATAATAAGAAGAATCCATACACAAACACAACGCCATCATAAGTCCAGAGTGAGAAAAAATAGTTCAAATACGAGAAAGAAAAAGAAAAAGACACAAAGGGCGTACCAGAAGTATAATCCGAGCTCGATTCTTTCGCCTCCTTCAATCAAATGACTTAAACACACCAAGAATCAGAGTTGAAAAACCGGAAAATCAAGGGAACTGAAGAAATAATAGAAAGGACTCATCGAAATGGCATCGTGGAACAAGTCCAATCCATCAAACCTGCATCGTTCAAACCCAGTCTTCATTTTCCCACTATTTCAAAAAGGCTCTTCTTTCTTTTACCTCCTTCCTCACCGGCTACCGGCTGAACCCGACCCATTTCCCCCCACTTATAATTAATTAATTAATTATAATATATAAATAATCATTCTATAAAATTAAAAAAAAAAAAAACATAAGCGAGATACATATAGAGAGAGGGAAAAAGAAATCACGCCACAAAAGTTTGCCACGTGTCATCAAGTTGTTGTTTATCCATACAAATAAGCTTAGCAAAATTACCGTTTTATCCTCACATGGACATGTGCCCAAATGATGGCCTTGGTTGCAATACAACTGGAAACAGCATTACTTTACTTTTTATTTATTTATTTATTTCTGAACATTATCTCTCCTTTTTAAATTCAACGACACTTTTATGGATACTATTATTTCTCTTTTTTAAAAAAAAAAAATTGCTCAATTTTAATAAGAATTTTATGATTTTAGGTCATTTATTTAATATATGTTCATTTATATTTGTGCTCGGGATAGAAAATGAGAGAAAAAAGTGGAGAGAAATTTCTTCATTCATTTATATTTGTGCTCGGGATGTGGATAATATTATCCATTCCTACCTCCCTGACTCTTGCCTAAATCTCTGCCCGGACTATTTATATTTAAATGTTAAATATCAAAACTCAAAACTATATATTTTTTTCTTTACAAAGTTTGTAATTTACACTATTTCACTTTAATTTATGGTTGAAATTATAATCGAAAATTTAAATTTTATATTTAAAATATATATATAAATTATACTCAGGTATGATGAGAGTTTTGTGGGGAACTTTAAAACTGGATGGTCACCGTACAGTAGCTGTCACATGACATGAGCTATACCACATCTCTGTCATGTGATATTGCCACGTGGAATAATATCAGTGGCTGTCGACCCTTTTGATTGTACGTCCTCGTTAGATTAGTACTACACGAACCCACTCGAATGGGAAATTATATATGTTTCCATAAATAACAATAAAAATAACATTTTGTATCAAAATGTGCCAACATTTGTAAGGATATTTTCGGGAAAAAAAAACCACAAGATTTATTAAATAAAAAACGAATTTATTGTTAAATTATATATACATATATTTATTTTAATGTCACAGTTATTTTTTATCTAATAATTTTTAAAAATAAATTTTAACATTAAATATATAATTAAATATATAGTTGCAATCTTAATTTAATATTTAAAAATAAATAAATATATTTTTTTACCTATTAATATTTTATTTTTATTAAAAATAATTTTTTGAATAAATAATTCAAATAATTTTCACGAATCCAATTCAAATATTTTATAGTTGGATTAAGCCGGATTTAATTAGTTAATATATATTATTTGGATTGAAAAATTATGACTCGAATAATTAGATTAAATTTAACAAATTTCTTTAACTTGACCTTATTAAACTATTCAACTTGATTTATTATAAATTAGTCAAACGTTTTGACAATCTTGCGTCCATTTGAAAGATCAAATGAATATGACCAAATCAAATTGACTTCCACATTCGATAAATATTTGACCTAAAGGTTGAGTTCACTTTGAGGATGAGGATTAAAAAAATATCCCAATCCATCCACGTAAGCATTTTGGTTTTAATAATGATCCATTCTAGAACAAAAGGAATACTCGCAATCATCCATGAGGCTTTTGTTCGCCTTAAATTAAATCATAAACTTAGGTAAGTGAATTCAGATAATTCTGAGTGATTTTAATAATTTGAAACATAAATTAATATAAATTACATAAATTCAAACTTATTAAAATCGATAGGATCCAAAATTGAATTAAAATGAAAAAAAAGGTAGAGTATACACGAGCTCGGTTGGGTTGGTGATTGAATGATTCAAATAGATTTCATGTTGGTTGAATTGGTTGGATTGGGGTTGGATCGTAAGGTTGTTAATTTAAAAAAAAAAAATTACTTATCTACCATACGTAATAACTAAAATACCATAAAACTCAAATATGAAACACTTAAATCGCGTTAAATATTCTTAATAATTTTAAGACTAAATTAATAAAGAATATCTTAGTCTAAAAATAAAAATAAAATAATATATATAATACCTTGACACTAAAATGGAAATTGTTACTATTTTTTTTTAAATATCCTTAAATTTTAAAAAATTTCATTAATACCTTTCCACTAAAAAAAATAAAAAAATGTCTTTACCATTAGAATTGTGTTTAAAAAAATACCCATAAAATTTTAAAAGTAACATTAATATCCTTTTATCTTTATAAAAAATAAAAAAAATAAATCTTATTGTCAATATATAGATGAAAATATTATCTATACGAACGTTTTAATGTTAATTTGAAAAGTTCATGAGTATTTTTAAAACGTAATACTAATAATAAAAGTATTTTTTAATCTTTAAAAAAGTTTAAAGACTAAAACAAAACCTTCAGAAACTCAAACATAGTATTCGAACACGTTTTGAAAGTCAAGGGGTGATTTTAAAACAAAATATTAACGTTTTCCATTAAAAAAACTAATGATAAAGTATTATTAAACTTTGATTATAAAAAAAAAACACAACAAATTAAGGATATTTTTTAAATTTTTAAAAGTTATATTTTTTAGATAATAGTATTTTTATTAATTTATTCTAATTTTAAAAATAGGTAAAAAGTTGGATTGAATTAAATTTAAAAACAAAAAAAAAAAAAAAAAAAAAAAAAAAAAAAAA